AGAATGATCTTTAGAAGAGGGTAGGTGGATAGTTCCGTTAGAGTACGGCAGTATGAAAATTGAATAGAAGTTGAAAATGAGCGAAGGGCCATTAAAGCGACAGTTTTCAAGATGACGCACATTTTTGCCTAGCCCGTACGATGTACGCGGGGACTTGAAGTATGTCTCCAAGTCCACAGGCTTCATAAACATAAACATAAACTTTGTCGGAAAATTCATTCCCAATCTTGCTGCTATGACACGTCACATGCGATCATTGCTAGTGAAGAAGAGTTCATTTACTTGGAGTGAAGAGTATTCACTGGAACTAGAAGCTATCAAAGCAATACTGGAAAAGGTTGAATCTCTAGAATATTTCGATCCTAATGACGAAAGACTATTGACAACAGATGCTAGTCCGTTTGGATTAGGTGCCATTTTATCAAATTAAAGATGGTATTCCAAGAACAATATCTTGCATTTCGAAGAGTTTGGCAGACCATGAAAAAAAGTACTATCAAACGGAAAAAGAGTGCCTCGCTATAATATGGGCAATGGAAAAGCTTTACATTTATCTCTACGGAATTCATTTCACGTTGGTGACGGATTGTAAACCACTGAAATATTTGTTTAACAAATCGCAGTCTAAACCATCAGCTCGAATTGAACGTTGGATTTTGCGGTTATTGAGTTTCGATTTTACCGTTAAATACGAACCAGGAGAACGAAATTTAGCAGATTCATTGTCTAGATTGTCACAAGGATTACAATGTCCTCAAGGCGAACCTGATGTTATTGTGTGGCTGTCGGAGCAAGTACGACCAACCGCTTTAAGTATAAACGATATTGCAAAAGCGTCTCTCGAGGATGATGAGCTTCAGAAAGTGAAAAATGCCATGTATTCAGGAAACTGGGCTGATGTTCCAGGGGTTATAAAACTGCCACTATTAAAGATGATTTATCACTGTATGGGGAATTGATCCTTCGGGGTGACAGAATTGTTGTACCTTAGGGTTTAAGAGAACATGTCATAAATCTTGTACACCGTGGACATCAGGGAGGCACCTCCATGAAAACGCAACTAAGGGCTAAAGTTTGGTTCCCAGCAATGGACAAGATGATAGATTTCTTTCTACAAAATTGCAAACCCTGCAAAATGACATCCCTTCCCGATAAAACTAATCCTATGTCCCGGAGAGTTCCTACACAGCCATGGCAAGACCTTGCTATAGATTTTAAAGAAGGCCTTCCCGGAGATATATCTCTGCTTGTTGTAGTTTGTTATACTTCTCGGTTCATCCAAATCGAAGCAATGAAGCCAGCGACTACTCAACGAGTTATAGGAGCACTTTTGAAAATGTTTAGCTCGTTTGGAATTCCTAGATCGATTACAGCCGATAACGGTCCCCAATTCAAGGCACTTGAATTCAAGAACTTCTGTCTCAGTTATGGGATACATCTTAACCTTTCTACTCCATATTGGCCTGAGCAAAATGGTGCCGTAGAAAGGCAGATGCGCAACATAGGGAAACGGGTAAAGATCAGTTCCATTCAGAACACTGACTGGAAAACTGACTTGTACGAATACTTGATCCTATATCACTCAACTCCTCAAGAGACTACTGGAATTTCACCGAGTAGAATGATGCTCGGAAGAGAAATTTACAACGGAACACCATCAATTCATCAGCCTCCGGCATTATTTTTGGAACCTAGCAAAGACAAGGATATGGCGTTGAAGGAGTATCACAAGCAGAAGGCAGATGAGCAGTGCCAGGCTAAACATCATAAGTTGGAAAGGGGAGGTACAGTATTGCAACGGAACCTAAAGAAAGGAGCATTACAGCCAAATTTCTCAGAACAAGAGTCTGAAGTCGTGGACATCGAAGGAAGTGCTGTTCAGATAAAATCCAACGAGACAGGTAAAAGTTACATCCGAAATAGCACACATCTTAAGAAGATGGATAAGCGATCAGAGTTGCCGGAAAAGCAAGACAACGCGACACCACGATCAACACATACGGGGACAATGACAAATGAAGAAGATGGAGAGTTGTTGACCGACAACAGAGACACTTCGACAACAAACAGTCGTATGATGTTGGAAAGACAGTGAAGGGCTCCAGCTAAATATGAAGATTATGTACTGTAAACTGGTAAGTGAAGTTATACAAGACTCATAAAATATTCATTCAACAGAAAATTTTGAATGTTAATTGAATTAAAAAAAAAGGAGGGATGTAACGGTTTGTATCGATACAGGTAGCAACACGCATTGATTATGGAGACGGATTCCCCAATGTTTTTAGTAACGGGTTTGAGATGAAGAAGATGATAACGAAAGAGACAAAACGAGTCGGTAGGTAGAAAGACCGAGCATGACGAGTCGGTCGGGGAGTTGTATTTGGAACGCGGAATTGATCGGACGGAAAACGGGAAGAGTCAAATATAAAACGTTACAGTGGGTAGCTTCCAATTTCAGAAGAAGTGTCAAATAGCCTACAAATGCCATCATATATCGATTTTCAGCATCTGCGCGTGGTCTCCGTTCCGAAAATACCCAGATCTTAGGGTATTTGACACTTTTTTCTGAAACCCGATGGCCGCCATATTGGATTCCAAAATGGCATCGGATATCGATTTTTGGTATCTACACGTTGTCCCCATTCCGAAAATACTAATATTGTAGGGTAGTTGACACTTTCTGAACCCTGATGGCTACCATATTGGATTCCAGTGTGATATCTGATATCGATTTTCGGCATCTACGCGTTGTCCCTGTTCTGAAAATAATCATATTGTAGGGTATTTTAAACCTTTTCTGAAACCCTATGTCCGCCATATGGGAGTCCAACGTAGCATCGGATATCGATTTTCGGCAGCCAGGCGTTGTCTCCGTGCCGAAAATACCCATATTGTAGGATATTTGACACTTTTTCTGAAACCCGATGGCCGCCATTTTGGATTCCAAAATAACATCGAGTATCGATTTTCTGCAGCTTCGTGTCGTCCTCGTTCCGAAAATACTCATATAGTGGGGTGTTTGCGACTTTACCTGACCCCGACGGCCGCCATCTTGGAGTCCAGAATGGCCTCGTTAATTTAATTTTCGTTTCATATAAAATAATATATTTTCACTGCATATAATCTGGATGCCATCCATCTGAAGCACTCGACGAACGAAACAAGTGATAGTCCAGTCATGTTTGAAAAGAGGAATGTTCATCATGCACCGTTTGAAAAATTCATGTAAATTTCTGCGAGATATAGTGCACATAAAATTAACGCTAGATTTGGCATAACTTTACGCGATATTTAGTGTAAATTTAAGCGCAATATCGCATAAATTTGGAATATTGTATGCAAGCTTGTAAACGATTCCACTGTTTATGCCAAGTAAAGCTCAAAATTAAACGAATGGAGATTTTACGCGATAGTTAACATTCAGAATTTTTTTCTGTGTGGCATTTTTCCATAGAAAATCCTTTTGAGCAAGCTTGAGAAATTCGGAGTGTCTGGATCCTTCATCTCGTGGTTCAAATCTTACCTTACATTGCGTTAAGCTTGGAGCTTCTCGTTCTGAAGTGTTCACGACCGTTTCCGGTGTTCTTCAAGAAAATAATCTGGGACCCCTTCTGTTCCCGCTTTTCGTCAACGAACTTTCGTGTCTACTGCCACCGACGATATCAAAATGTATATGGTTATCAATTGCATCGCTGATTGTGAGGAGTTACAGCTGATTGTGGATCGTATGCAGAGTTGGTGCTCCCGTATCTTCTTGACATTCAGCATAAACAAGTTCAATGTGATATCATTTCATCGCAAACGAAACGATATTATTTTATTATTCCATATCCGGGCAAACGTAAGAGAGGATAAGCCAGATCAAAGATTTGGGAGTAACACTCGACTGTGAATTGATATTCTCACCGCACTACAATGACATCCTGACTAAAGCTAACAGGCAGCTTGGCTTTATGTTCAAAATATCTGAAGACTTTCGCGATCCGCTTTGTCTGCGGGCGCTGTATTGTTTGTTGGTACGTTCAATCTTAGAGTATAGAGCTGTCGTCTGCTGCCCGTAGCAAGCATGCTGGATAGCCAGATTTGAGAGTGTACAGAGAAAGTTTGTTCGCTACGCGCTTCTTCATCTGCCCTGGCGTGACACGGCTAACTTACGTGGATCGCTGTCGTCTGCTTGGAATTGACACCTTGGAACGAAGAAGACGGAACGTGCAAGTTGTGTTTGCTGTTAAGATCATTCCCAGCGAGATTGATTCCCCCGAATTACTTCGGCAGCTTTTGTTTTACGCACCTTAGAGAGTCCCGCTGTCTAAATTTTGTACATCTCGCAACTCGTAACCGGCAATATGGGTTGAATGAACCTATCCTTGTCGTCGCTAATGCCTTCAATGACGTCTATGGCATCGTTTGACTTTAATTTGCCGTTAACCCTTTTTATTAGAAGACTGTCCTGAATTAGAACGAGCCTTGTTTTTGTTTCAGTTAAAGTTTTTTAATTCATTAAGACGACCATATGTCAGATAAATCATTGAAACAATACATAAATAATTGTTAATTTGATTTAACCTTTGATCGGAATTTTCAGTGAACCGTCAGAATGTAAAATAATAATAATTTTTCAAACCTTTTAATAAGCAATCATTAAATTTGAATTTTAAGAAAATATTTGTGGCTTTATTTGTTTTCTGCTGGTACTGTGTGAATATACTCGATTTTCTCCGTAAATTTTACTTAAATCATAATTTGGGTTTTCCAAATCTTTAAATCCGATTATCTCCGAAAACATTGCCCTATTCGCGATTTGATGGGTCTGTCTGTATCTTCATACCCGATTTTCTTCGTAAATTTTGGCCTAAATTATGAGTTAGGTTTTCCAAATCTTTAAACCCGTTTATCTTTTAGCTCTCTTAGCTTAATCATTTATCACCCAAGAAGAAAATATAAGGAAGTTTACATGAAATGCAATCTGCTTCTGCTTCTGAGGAAGTCTACTTTATTGTTCTAAATATCCTCAGCCATTGATTTATAGATTTGGAAAGCAGCCTGAGCTACCCGTTGGATTTCAGTTGCCGGTAAGTCGAATCCTTGATTGCCTCCTCCAGTCAACTCCAGCGTGAAGCCATACGTGAATCCGCCCGCTCCAACAGCGTAATCATCGCTGGCTCCGTAGGCAGTGTACAGAATTTCCGCGCTGTTTCCAACAGTATAATCAGGACCGCCAACGGCCAGGACGGCAGATCTAGCCTTTTGTCCCATGGCAATATGTTCAACAGCGTTTGAAACCGGAATGAAAGGCCACGCATAGCCAAATGGATACAGAATCAAATCCCCGTAAGTATGCACGGCTAGATAAAGCGTCAAATTGTTTCTGTAGCGGTTCATCAGGGACACCAAAGCCTGGGTTTCTTTTTCCGATGCTGCGATCGCGCCAGCATAGGTATCAGAGCAAGCCTGAAAGAGAATGAAGTCACATGGTCTGTTCATTTTCAAACGTTATGCTTCAAAAGAGACTTACGTTGGCGCTGAAGTTCCACATGTAATCAAAGTTACGGTTTAGATCAACACCCGTACATAGAATGGTAACCGGGAATCGGTTCTTACGCCACATGCGGTTAGAAGTGTGACTGAATTCGTAGCCGTCTGGATTTGCAACTGGAACAATGACCCAATCGTTGACCAGCATATCCGCGTACATATCGCTGTGCTCGACCAATTCGTGAATCAAATACATTACAGACATAATTGCACCCCATTCACTAGCAAACGGAAGGATAGAATGAAAACAAAGGTACTAGAAGTAATGATTGCAGAAGGATTCTTACCGAGCGTGAACTCCACCATCGATGAATACGACGGGCTTTGATCCGCTGACCTGTCCGTTAGTGGTAGCGATAGTGATAGATTTGATTTCGCGATTTTCGTGAGTCTGGCCAATAACTTCAACCGAAACCAGACTTGGATATTCAGCAGCCAATTCGTCCATATAGTCGTAGATCTCCTGTGTACGCCAAAAGTGTTCAAAGTCGACGGTGCTTCGGCCGGAGACAACTCGTGCCCTTCGGTACTCCTGATCATATTTACGTTCAGCCTCAATGGTTCTGTGAAACAATATACTCTTTAATTATATAATCCTGGCATATGCACCTTCAAATTCACATACGTTTCCACATCATCGATGATTAATTCGTGCGAAAAATGATTTGCTTTTAGGAAATTTTCAAACTTCTCCTGCAACTGAGGGTGGATCATGACTCGTCGTCCGGATGGATCCCAAAAGTCAACACCGTCCACGTCTTCCCATCGTTTAAGCTGAGCCAGTTGTTCTTTCGCAGCAACCTGGATCTGGTAAACTTTGTAACTGAAACGGAAATGCAAGTTCAGGAATTCCACTCGGTGCACTGCAGCAGTTTTGAAAATTACTTCCTATACGACACCTGCTCGGCAGTGGCCAAAACGGCCAAAGCCAGCATCACGAAAGCTACCGTGCACTTCATTCTAACCCTGCACCTTTACCAAACTTATCGCATTGGCTTCTGTGCTGAATGCCGTTTGCTGTTTTATAGCTGAATCATAATCTTGGACGTTCCGCATGTAGATAATATTCTGATACGATTGACGAAAAAGTGATTGAACGGGTCACATAATAGTGTTCGATACAGGAAAATATTCTTGCTATGTCGTATTTTCCATTCGTGAATAATTTAAAAAGTTATCTCTAGCAGAGCTTTAGATAATTCTATGGTTGTGTATGATTTTGTCAGATGATTGAAGTGACATATCTGAACTGTAAGCATGATTACATTTGTCATATTTCGATACTTTTCAATGCCGGTTTAGGTAACCATATTTCCGATGTCCGTCATCATAAATTCTCTGAGAAAACCCAACCAGGCGATTATCGCTATCAGATACTAGTATCTAATGGTTTCGATTGTTTTCATTGCGCTCGTCATCAACTGAGTTATCAATCCCTTTTGTGTCGTTTTTATTGAAAATGTCTGGATTTAATTAAAGTATTTATTTGCACATAACAGTATAAATAGGCTGTCGACAGATGCAGGCCACTCTCGATGTGTGTCACGAGATCGTCTGTTTACTCGGCAGCAAACCATTTTATGGTCCTCCTCATTGTTCTTCATCAGCAGTTCTTTCGGTCGATGCGTCGTCGACTTTGGAAAACAATCGTTTCGTTATGAGTGTGTGAGTGCTGACCACGTTTTGCGTCCATTGCTGCAATGGAAGCACTTTGCCCCAGCGATACTGCCACTGGAAGCGGATCCCGTTCTGATGGAGGAGACTTATTGGATAGTGGCTCTGTAAAGTTAATTCAGTTGAGCCTAATCGTGTTGAGAGGGTTCTTGTCCTTGGGCGCCATCGGCACGTTGTTGGCGGCACACCACTCTATGGCCTTTTTTCCGTAATGGTAGGGTGCCAAATCCGGTTTTTTAAATGCACGATTAAAATAAATGCGTTAAGTCGACTAAATTTTGATCGTAACACCCTTTACATATTTTTCAACCGGTAGCTTTTATAATCTTATACCCCGTTCACATTACAGCCTATATCACGTAATATAGGCTGTTTTGCAATGAGCACTCATACATAGGATTTCCAGTGAAAACTAGATGTATGAGTAATCATTGCAAGACATCGTATATCACGTGATATACGCTGTAATGTGAACGTGGTATTAACCTTTCAGCAATGGCGTAGCTAGAAAATTTATCTGTAGGGGCCTAGGAGGAGGACTGTCATATTTTTTTTTTATTTTGCCAAACTATAGTTAAATAAAAACTCGCGAAGATACTATTCAAACAAATTGAAAAAGAACAGAAAATCAAAGTTTCTATGAAAATACGTACTTTTGAGAACTAATTTTTCTCAAATATTAAGAAATTCAACCCCACGTGTGGATTCAGCAAGTTATATTCTATAAAGTACAAGCCTTTTTTCAAAGATAGTAGGAGCCAAAATTCAGTTCGGCAAAACAGAAGAATCAAAATTCTATGATAATACCTACTGTTGTAATTATTAACTACATAGGTTCGTCCTTCACGTATGGATTCAACAAGTTCCACTATATAAAATCAAAGCACACATTTCAAACGATAGAACCGAAATCCAACCAGGCTTAAAAAAAGTAGAAGGGTCTGTGCCTAGGGGCACGAACGGAAGCTTGACATAGGACCGCTAGTGGGCGGAATAAATGTGAAGAGCATTTAGTTCTTTTAATTGATCTATTATCTATTATCTCAACTCTTTCCGTTTTTGAATTGTAGGCGTACCAAATTTGTAGTAAACTTTTTCAAAGAGAAAGTTGATTAAGAGAATCAATCAAAATCCCTTGCACCCCTGCTTCCAAGTTTGGTTACAAGATTACAACTCTGGAGAGCATTTTGTGTGGTCGTTGGTTCTGAATATGGACAAACAAGCACAGATATAAAACAGCAAAAAAAGGTTATCTTCCATTTAATTCCACTTAATTAATTTCGGTATCCATGACAGATACGTATTTCGACTACAATGTGCAATCTTCATCACTGTCATTCCCACTAAAGAATACAGGTTAAAGCAGAATGATGTGCAACCAAGTGGTATAAAAGCTACAAAGACTCCTCCCATTATGAGTAGTTTGCTATCAAGTAGCGACACTGGCTCTTTTCTTTTTGCGTACACGACGAATGAGAAAGACCCAAATTTGAGTTTAGTTCACTCATAATCGCCAAAAATGCAGGAACTCAGCGATGAGTAAATTTGTCTCATGGTTTCCTGTGGAAAACCTAAAAAATCTGCCAGAAAATGAGGAAGTTGACGAAAATTTTATTCAGTCTCGAAGTAGTACCAATAAACAATCTTTACTGTTCTCAAATTTGGGAATTTTTCCCTGGAAAATCCTGGAAAAAACCTGGAAAAACATGAGGAAAATTTACTGATCGCTGCACTTTATTTCTTATTTCTGAGATAACTAACCTCAAATTTGGGTCGTTCTCATTCGCCGTGATATCACCTTGAAAGATATCGGCGCTGGTGATTAGCGTGATTACCTCTCATCCCAGCAGGCCTGGGTCCAATCTCAGTCGGCGCCACCGGCATGTTCTAAGGCATAACATCTCTGATCAGACACAAATCTTGGACGGTTGTGACACCACTCATGAAATTGAAACTCCTGGTTTACTGGACTGCAACAAACGTGAAGTTCCAGTTTTTTTTTGTTATAAGTTTTGTGAGAGCTGATATCTGTACTCTTGAAATTTTTATGTGGTAATGAGATTGATCCTCAGCGATTCAACTTCAAAACGCTCAAAATAAATACACGCACAAAAACGGAGTGCACAATTTTGCATCAATGTTATGCAACATTTCATGATTGATCGAGATGATATCAATTAGTCATGAATCCCTCCAATAAGTTCTCGGTACATATTTTATCTACCGATTGAACAAATAAAAAAAAATACTAAGGCTGTGTTCCATTCGGAAAATTTTCAAATGTGTGCTGAAAATACCTGGGACGAGATGATTCAAGGAGAAAGTCGGCGAAGAGAATCTTGTCAGTGTTACTTAACACCTAATGCAATGTTCAGCTTGAATTGTTTCGCTTAGCTGTAGCAATGTAAACAGAAAATCGATGAAGAGAATCGAACATTACAAGTAGGCCCTCTTGAACGCTCACTATTTATGATAAAAGAGATAAGCATTGCAAGTCCCTCCTACTTGAAGAATTATGCAATCGAATGGCTTGCTATGCCTCGCCCCCATCAGCAAAAAAAAAGACTGGGGTTGTATAAACCGTTCTACAGCATAATTTTCCAAGTAGGAGGGACTTTCATAGCTAATCTAAAAGCATAAATAGTGGTACCGTCTGATAATTTCAGTGCTTGGTACAGAAAACTGTAATCTGTGTAGGAAAATCCTTTTTATCGCCACAGAAACACCCGGTTCCCGTTTTCTTATGCAATATAATGAATGTGCGTTTACAAAACGCACGAAATCCTAAAAAAAAACATATTAACAAGAATTTTGACGTACGACTACGTTTGTGATTTCTGTATGGGGGTACACTTTGTGAAAACCGAAAATGGAACATGTAACAAAATTATGAAAGATTTTGATCGTCAACAACCAGCTCCTCCTGGACCAATTTCAATAATTTTATCACCAATCGATCAGAAATATTTTGGCGCATTTGAAAATTGCACGAATGAAAATTATCACCGATTGCCTGCGAAAATCGATTTCCCTAACACAGATTTCAAAGTTGAATTCCACCCGGTCTCACCACACGGTGTTTATTCAATCACCGCGTGGTGAGTGGTGGTGTTCTCCAGTGCACAACAAAAGGCTCCCCGCAAGCAGCTAGCTATCAAGGCTGCCCTCAACCGATGATCGGATTCAGTTCCAATCACCGTGTGTGGTGGTGTCCGGTCATCGGCAACAGCAGCAGTGCTTTCGGGCGTGGCGTTGAATATTGTTCTCCAGTACACAACGAAAGGCTGCCTGCAAGCAACGAGCTGCGCCCACATGAGCAGCCATAGAAGGAGGAAGTAGCCGCTCCGCTATTGATCGGAATCAGTAGCTCTTCGTGAGTCACTGTGGGGCATCTATGTCAAGCGCGTCATACCATAAAGTATAAACAGAGATAACCACGCTCAAGTTCCTATTCCTACGCAAAACACAAGTTACTGCTGCAGTTAACAAATAAGATTCACGTCACCATTGTGTACAACCCCATTATTTTACATATGTACCGAGAATTACATGGAGGGATTTGAAGCTAAAATGTTCTGATCGCGAAATATTGACGATCAATACCAAAATTTCGCAAAATGTCCAATCCGTTTTGTGTGGTGTGTGCTGCTGATTTTCAGTGTTGCCCAATGATTGGGGAACTTTTATAAATAACGTAGTAGTTGAGGGAGGAGAGGGGTTTCAGAAGTTGAGACCGGCCATGTATTAGGTGTATTGCAAAACGCGCTCCGAAGGGGGGTTAATTTGTCAAAAATATACGTAATTTATGGATGGCCCTAATTTTACTTCCTAGCAATGGGCAAGTTAAATTTAACTCGTGGTTAAAAGTGACAGATGAGTTATCCAATAACCCTGCTATACGAGCGTGGTTATTTCGGACCGACTAGAAGTTAAACTTTGGTAACCGTGGCTGAGTTGTTTGAAAACTGATCAATTTCCGGCATTTTCGAACATTGAAAATAACTTTCGAAATGTCACGATTAACCACGAGTTAAATTTAACTCGGCAATTGGTACACAGCCCACGAAGTATTTCTCGATTACTTTTTCGAAGGGACGTATCAGCTTTTTTAAACAACGTATTTGATCGTCGATTTTTCGTAACTGGTAGCTAACCCACGCATGCTAATACTACCATCAGATAGAGGAAATTTTCCCCTACCTGATATAGTGGTGTTAGTATGTGCGGTGAGCCAAACCGACGATAAAATGCGTTGTTTACAAAAGCTGATATGTCCTTTCGAAAAAAGTAATCGAGATTTACAGTTATCATTCAGGCAAGGAGCGCTT